TGGGTTTCCTGAATAATCTCCCTGTGGGTTTCCTGCTTTCTTTTCCTTCCAATGTGTGGGGACATGTGATAACTTCTTGTTTTAAGATGTTCCCTTCTGGAGTATGTAAGGTACAGGTGATAGCTCCTCAGTTTTTCTGAGGTCCTTTTGTAGAGCTTTCCCACACACTTGGAGATGTAGTAGTGGTCAGAGGGTTATAGATGGAGAGTCTTCTGGGGCTAGTGTTTCTTGTGTCTGCTCAGGAAGTGGATGTTGCTGTTCAGTCTGTCCTCTTTTTTCATGTTGGGAAACATCCATTTTAAAGAGGAGTGTGTGTTTGTTCCCCCTTGGATGGCCATCCCCATGACAGCTGTAAGGCTTTTTATGACACTCTTAGTTTTATATCTTACTGCTACTGGGATGCAGTCTTTATGTAGATGTATCTCAAAATTACAGTGGTTGCTACAGCAACCTCGGGTCTCTGAAGGATTTGGCTGCAGATGGCAGCTGATATGACAACCAGGCAAAGACTTTGCACAGCTCAGCATACTTTTCTATGCAGTGCTCAAGGTGATTCTCTCCATCAGCTGTCTTCCTCTCCCTCTCTAGTACTAACACCTTCACTAGCTATCCTATCTCTCTAGAGACAGCCTTGAGAAACAAGAAAGAAGGTTTTTCTGACTTTTATTGACACCTCAGTGCCACTTTATTTCACTGCAACAGTATTTGTTGTATGAGAATTCAGAGGCCACTCAACAGATAGGAGGATGAGCTCCTTGAGATATGAAGACCTGAGAAGTGGCCGCCCAGACTTTCAGATGATCCTGTATCAACATGCACGATTCTCTTAAAGGAGTGCTATCTCTATTGAGATTGAAAGGGCAGTTGCAGTCTTGTAAAACTATACTGTAGTTACCAGAGCAAGTGAAAAGATATACCACAATGGAGGTGAACAGGATGAGAAAGGGTCTATGAATGTGGATTAGTTTTCCTGAAACAAAAAGGTTTACTTCCCTTGCTCAGATGGAGGCTCTGCAATTCAGCTGTGGCCACAATGCAGCAAAGGATGTGCTTAAAAACTGCCGCATTCTTTTGATTTACTTTTGAAAGAATGCAGCTGCAGTCTAGACGCAGGTGAAGTTTTTTCAAAAAAAGGTTACGTTAAAAAAAAAAAACAGGAGTCTAGACACACCCATACTGCTCAACCCACTCATCTGTGGTGGGAATGGAGAGAGTTCAGTGCATTTCAGGATTGGGCCCTCATTGAAAACCCTTTTAAAATTAATTTAAACACTGTATTTATAAAAATTATTTAAATTTCAACTGTTAGAGCAGATTTGACATGCTGAGTGTATAATCCTACATTGCTATCTTGAGACTGGTTCTTGCCACCTTTAAACTGTAACATCTTACTTTTTGAGCAATCTCAAGGAAATCTCAAGAGGGCTTTTAGTAAGCAGGCTCTTAATATAGCAGTGGAGGTGGTTTCTGAGGAAACCTTAGAAGGGAAAAAGGGAAAAAGCAAGCCACATGTTCATGTAAGTGAATGACTTCTGGGGTTTTGGGTACTGAGCAAAAATTGGTTAATGTTTGATTTACACAGTGCACCAGGAAATTGGCTTGGAACATCTAGTGTTCTGTAAACATTCACTTAATTTTAGACTGGGAATCAAAATCTCTACTGAAACTCCTGATTTTTACACTCCTGCAGAGCTTGGACAAGTTTTAACATTTTCCCTATTTCACCTTTCCTCCCCCATCTTTTAGTGCTCCCATACACATAAAGAATGGGGGAGAATAGTATAATGAAAAACAGGAAAAAAACAACAGCTTATATTGTTGCTATATTGACATGTTGTTATTCAGCCTGTGATTATCCTGAGCTCTTTCACTAATAATTAGACTTCCATTGACTATATCAAGAAAAAAAATCACACCTAAAGCTTTTATTGCTTACCATTATATGTCATTGATAGATTTTTAGCTGAATCTTTCTCTTTCTTCAGGATAGACAAGGAAGATAATCATAAACTGCATTTATTCACATCTAAAAGTCTGACTTCATAGTAGATTAACATCTAAAGTTATATTTGAGAGAGTTTGTGTGTGTGTCTGCCCACCAGCTGGGGGACATGCACCCCTCCCCCGGTTGTGCCTGCTGCAGCAGCCATGGACAGTGCTCTGGCCCCAAGCTGCTGTGGTGAGAGAGGGCTGGGTTGCTTTCTCTTGCTGGGGCAGCCTGCGTACTGAACCCCTCATCTCCAGCACCTCTCCAGAAAAATATTTTACATGAAGAAAGAGGCATTTCTTAAGGACTTGAGCAATGCTGGGTAAATCTTCCAGTAGGATATAATGCTTCCAGGGTTGTTGACATAGGTGCAGAGGGTGCTGAAGCATCCCCAGGGTTTGCACCCAGCTTCCCCATGCCCAGGAGCCAGCCCCACTGCTGACACCCCAAGCCAAGTCTCCATACAGCTCCAGAGTCCTGCTGTCCACTGGCCCCACAGACTCTGCAGCTCGCCATCCCTGGGGTCCAGGCCTCCAGCCCTTGAGGCTCTGCTTCTGCTTGGGGTCCTAATGCCAGCCTGGGGCTCTGCTCCTCCTGGCCTCGACCAAGAGCTTTACAGCTATCTCAAGCTGTGGCTAGGTTGCCAGCTCTTCCAGACAAGACTTATTGGATGCCATTTGTGGCAACAACATCCAGTCTGAGAGAATTGGCAACCCCAGGTATGACCCCAGCCTGGGGCAGTGAGGGGGCATAAACAGGGTATGGGAGAGGGACACAGCTCAGCACCCTCACCCTAAAAGTAGTCCTAGTGCCACTGCTTGTCAGAGGGTTGAAGTCTGAGCCCAGCCAGAGCACCCAGTGATGGTGAGCTCAGCCATGCCACACAGTGACAAGAATTTAATCACATAAACCAGACACCATTGTCCTGCCCTGTTCACTCCATCTCCCTTCCCCCCCCACACACATTGCTCACTCTCCCCCATCCTCCCTCACTTTCACTAGTATGAGATGGATGTTGGAGGAGATGAGGATTCTGGGCTGGGGGTGAGGAGTTCAGAGTGTCTGAGGGACACTGAGAGGGTATGGGCTTTGGAAGGGGCTCAGAATTGGAGCAGGAGGTTGGAGTGTGTGAGGAGGTGAGAGGTGCAGGCTTTAGTCAGGTGGCACATAGCTTGGACGGCTCCCAGTCAGAGGCATAGTGGGACTAGGACAGATTCCCTGTCAGTTTTGGACCTATGCAACTTCCAGAAGCGTCTAGAACATCCATCCCTGTGGCCTTTCAGTGGGGCAGGAGAGCTCTTGGCTCCATGGGCTGCACCTGCCCACAATTGCTGACCCTGCAGCTCCCATTGGCCATAGTTCCCGGCCAAAGGGAGCTGCAGAGTTGGTGTGTAGGATGGGGGTAGCGTTCTGAACCCCTGGACCTCCTCACATCTAGAGGCCGCAGGGACATGCCAGCTGCTTCTAGGAATTACATTGGGGCAGGGCAGGCAGGTGACTTTCCTTGGACTTTTGTGGCTGATCTCCTGGTTTGGCTTCAGGAACCTCTGTGAAATTGAGCCCAGTGATGTGAGACTCTCAGAAAAACGGAGAGGGTTGGCAACGCTACTTTGGCAGCTGTCTCAGCTATGTGAAGCCTCAGCAGCTTCTCTGCAGGAGCTCACGGAACACAACTGGTCCTCAGTTGTGTCTACTTATATCGAGCTGAGCGTTGACCTTTTGAGTCTAACCTCCAGTGTGAGCATGCTCAGGAGATAGAGCTGAGCTGGACCTTCTGGGCCCAGAGCTGCTCTTTAATCCTTAGTCCACCAGTGTGGGGATTATATACTCTCTCACAGGACTAGATTAGGTCTCAAGAAACTGAGACAGTGCAGCATCAGCTTGCCATAGCTATCTTGGTAAGGAAATGTGGCTCAAGTCCAGTTCCCCCAGTTCCTCTCAGGGGATGGAGGAAGCAAAATGCAGGACAATGTAGCACTTTAAAGACTAACAAGATGGTTTATTAGATGATGAGCTTTCGTGGGCCAGTCATTTTTTTTATTGTATCCTTTGGTATATATGGTTGTGACTACTTTCTTCCACTATTTGATCTGAGGAAGTGGGTCTGGCCCACGAAAGCTCATCATCTAATAAACCATCTTGTTAGTCTTTAAAGTGCTACATTGTCCTGCATTTTGCTTCAACTACCCCAGACTAACACGGCTACATTTCTATCACCAATCTGGAGGGGAGCTAGAGCGTTAGTGTGGGAACCTTGAGTCTCGAGGGCCACACTCACGTGAGCTGGGGTATTAGGTTCCTCACCCCTGCTTTAAAAACAAAACCTCTTACTCTTAAAAATCGATCCCCGTATCTCTGGTCGGACCACCTTCACGCAGGTCCTCCGGGATGGAAAACTGCAGCAAACTGTATGAACAGAAACAAACAGAAGCCCCAATCGCAGCTGGAGGTGGGGCGAGGCTGCCCCAGCAGGGACATGGAGGAAGTGATTGCTGATGGTCAAGAACAGCTCTGCTGGCTCTAGAGCATTGGGGGTGCTGCCAGGGCCACCCCCAATGCTCTAGACTCTCCCATTCCTCCTGACTCTCCAATCACCTGCTTTGGGGTGAAGGTGCAGGTGGTCATACAATGCATTATCCCTTCCACTCTGGAAGTAGGTCCCCGGTGCTCCTGCATGAGTGAACTGTCTGGGCCAGAATCTAGCTTTCACATGGCAGCCCATTAGAAGGAAACGAGGGGGTTCAGCTGCTCTGAACCTTCTCCATTCTTCATGAGTAATGGTGGATTTTAAGCACAGCATACTAATTGAAACACACGTTACGGGACATAAATGCTTTCAAAAGTGAGAT